TATCCTACACTACGGACGCCCTAGTGTATGCACAGTCCTTGTGATGCCAGAAATGCTTACCCCTCTTTCCAGCGCAAGGCATACATAAGCGGGGGGTAAATTTACCCCCCAGATTTGCAATAACCATACACCGGCTATTTCCTCAAGACACTCTATTCCATATACCTTTTACCCGTGCTTCTCCTACACTACGGACGCCCTAGTGTATGTACAGTCCGTATGATGTCAGAAATGCTTACCCCTCTTTCCGACTCAAGGCATACAAAAGCGGAGGGTAAATTTACCCCCCAGATTTGCCGATCACGCATCTTCGTGCTTGCCAACGAGTGCACCCGGGTTGTTCCAATGTACCCTTCCCAGTCAGCGATGTCACATTTACATTCTTTAGCGCAAAGTATGTACATAGCAACCTTCCTCCCAAAACATGTCATCCCTACATGCTTTGCCGACTATGTAACTAGTACATCCGGTGCGATTCGGCTAGCTTTCGACCTCTCCCCCTGGCCTCAAGTATGATGCACATATGTGCACCAATTCCGGGAACATGAGTGAACCGTTCATCACCAAAGCACCTTCAGCAGCAACGGGATTCGGTGGTCAATGGTGTCCAACAAGCCAGCAGCGATCCCGGGGGGAAAAAAGGGTCATCCAGACTCCAGAGGTTGAAACACGTGTTTCATATGCTTGATGGACATAATATAAGAGTGTTTTACACCAGCAGATTGTTGGAGATATCCAAGTGTTCTGAACTTGATCGCTCGTTTTCTGGTGTCACCACGCTTTTGTGCTCTTTGCACGTATGCAAAGGAATGAGCTCGACTTCTGGGACCGGGTGTGCCGCTTGGATGAAAGCCATCAAAAGGCTGACGTGCGGGAGAGGCAGGAAGCAACCCCACTGAACTGTTCCAATCATGGTCGTGTGCATCTTTGTTGAGTGCTTGTGTGTGTGTGTTGGTCAAGAGGGTGAAAGAGCTGAAAGCTCACCACAACCACCGCCACCACCATCGATGCCATTCGCTTCCCTCACAGCAAGGAGTCAAAGGGAAGTAGCTTAGTGGCCATGAGTGGCCCACAGGGCCAACACCTGAAGTGCACGCGACTGTAGAGAAGCGGCCCAAACAGGTGTAAGGGACCTGAGCTGACGGAAGGACCTTTCAATTGGAAGAGCCATGATAAACAAAGATGAATTGGTGTCAACCGTTCCTGGAAGTTCGCATCACTAATTATAGCATCCTCAAAGCAAGATCAAGAGATGGTCGAACTTTCGATGGAGAGGGGGCCGACGAATTCCATGAGGTCATCACAAAGGTGGAGGATCTGGACCAAGCTATCTCTCTGGTTGGATTACAGTGCCTTGGGCGTCTGGCCGAGATCCGGTGGTGTCCGGCCGGCGTTCTCGACGGCACAAGCCACCAAAACTAGAGTTCGATGGCGTGTTTGTTAGATTGCTGGTCCAATCTTTCATCCTTAACCCCTTGTCATGAGACCTGACAAATCCTGACAAGGAATGAAACAGAAAGGATCCACTCGAGGTCTTTGCCGCTTTCTCAAACAAGGGCGAGTGGCGTGGCGATGATCGAGCCAGAACCTTTGGCGCGGAAGATTCTCGGTGATACATAAGTTGTGTTTGCTTTCGTGTTTGACCTGTAGTTCAATGGTAGGCTATCTAGGTTAGGGGACCACCATATGCGTCATTCAGTCCAATACTTTGCTTTTGGTTCGTATGGGAAGATTGCATCCTTTGCTCCTCAGCCGCCTGTGCCGAATGGAGTTGCAGGCTGCCTCACAGGCATGGCCTGACATCGAGACGGGCCGTGTTCCAGTGGGTGCCGTTTCAGTCACTGGGCCACACATCAAGATACCGGAGTGAGATCTTGTGCAATCCAAATCCGCTCAGAGCCAGACCTTGTGTGTAGAATTTTGGGGATATGTTCAATTCTATTCCCTTCTGAGGTGCCAGTTCTTGTGGATGACAACGGGACTCAGTATGACACCCAGATGGTTGCAGGTGCCAGTCCAGAGCCTTGAGCAACCCATTGCCCAATGCAAGGGAACTTCTGCTGACCATGCAGTTTCTGAGAAGTTTTTGAAGTCCTGATGTCCTAATTTCTTGCGTTATACAGTAGATTGTTGTATCCTGACAGACTCAACATGATACTTAAACCATTTTAAAACCACTTGATCATCAGTGATCCAACAGATCCCAGAAGCATCAGCAGCTGCGCAGGGCAATTTGGCCATGACTTGTGCAAAGATGGGTCGGTGATCAGGCGAAACGGGCGAAATGGGGATCTCGAAACGACCGGATTGAGCTTCACATACCAAAAGCTTTGACTTAGTTATTTGCTGTTTCTTGTTCCACAATGATTCTGAATCCTTTGCCCATATGCCTGGGATGAATGAAATGAATGAATATTCCAGCACATTCTGGCCAGGCCTCGTACCGACTGGTGTATCGCGTTTGAGGGCCATCCCAAGGCTGAGCCAAGAGCCTACCGTGATGGCACCTTAGAAGCAAAGACCTGAACAAAGGGCATCGCTACTAGCAGGAAGGGCGCTACTAGTAGCTCCTGGCATTACTACTAGGAACAAGGATGCGGGCCCCTGCCTTGGACTAAGACCTTTTGCCTCTTGCTACTAGTAGCTTCTTGTTCCTAGTAGTACAGTATTGCCAGGAGCTACTAGTAGCTTTTTGCTCGTAGTAGCGATGCCCTTTGTTATATAATAGTAGTAGCGTCCTGTTCCAGTGCGCCAAATATAGCATCCCAATTGAATTGGAGAGTTGTTGAAAGGAAGAGGTCTGACCAGACATAAATATCCAACCAAGGTGAGGTCCGACCAGCAGCTGAAGCGCCTTGATGAGCCATCATTTCCTAGCTGTTTCAGCCTTTCAGCTGCTCGGCCATGATGGATGTTGTACAGGTGGGCATCCTCCATGGTCACTGGATCAATCGCTCCGTGAGAGCGCTGATCTTTGACAGCCCCGGTGAGATGTGCAGACTTACTCATCGGAGCTGGTGACATGCCGTGCATCGGCCTGACGAAAAGAATGGTCGCACTCAATTTGTCAATGAACAAGAGGCTTTGAGCATGTGCAATGTGACAGTCTGGAGAAGAAGTTGTTTGACTACAGTAAATTCTTTTGCTGGATAATATGTGGGCTGCGACTTAGCACCACCACCTCCCAGTACTACTGTTTTTTGTTTGCAGAGCTTAAGTCCTGTGGTATCCCAAGTCTTGGGCAGGTTGCAACTACTTTGCCATCCAACATGGCAGTCTAACTAAATATGACTATATATGTATATACATACCGTAAATAATACTGTGTATGATCAAATCTAACTCAAGAACACTCCAGGAGAAGACATGTCGGGTAGCTCTGCTCACCTGCATGGTTGATTCTGATTGATGATCATTATTGAATGGGGCTGGTGGCAGTTGGTGGCCAGATCTGGGTGTTTCGATGTAACACGGTGATTTTGTTCAGTGTCAGGAGCGCACGCTTCACCATCAACATGCTTATTGCTATCATATTTGGAACTCTCTCGCCCTTGATGTACTTGTTGGCGTGGATCAACTTCTACCTTTGCACCTTGCCTGAAAGGCACCCAGGGAATGACACTGGCCTGCCACGCTGTTGGTCCGAACTTGTCCATGTCCTTCGGACCGTTTTGGATGTCCTTCTTTCGCTTCAAGTGGCCACTTATGTCGACTCCACTTTCCGAGGCCGCGTGATCTATGGATACCTCGTTGTGTATGCAGCTGCTTGGCCATTGCTGAGACCGTTTTCATGGCAGTAGCGACACTAGTTGAAAGAGTTCAGGGCCAAGGTAGGATCAGAGTTCATGTATACATGGGCTCAAGTGGTAACCTTGCTTACTCGGGGGGGGTATCAACATGCAATGAGTTCAGCCCAAACATGTTGAAAGATGCCATCAACTGACAACTCCAACAAGGAGACGAAAGGAATGCTCTCGGATTGATCCAACGGCACTGAGGAGACCAGAAAGGAGGATTCAGGTGGCTATTTCTTCATCGCTCAGCTGCACCACATCTATGCAGGGCTCTTCTTCTACTGCCTGTTGATGATTGGCCTGTTTAGCGAATCATGGCTTGGTGAAGTTGCCAAAGCACAATCTAGTAGCCTCCTGGTAAATAGAGGGGAACATGTTCTAAGACCATATAAGACTCACTTGTCAGTGAGCTTGTGGCGACTGTTCACTTCAAGTTCTACAGGGCTGATATGACCTCCGACCTCCCCACATCTTCAGATCTCACTTCAACGCAGCGAGGCACGGGCGCCAAACTACGTTCCAACGGGCTTTGCTGTGGTCGCGTTCATCTATGCACCCTTGCTGCGCTTGTCGTATGGGTGAACTCATGATCATCCTGTATTTGTCAATTGTGGAGACTCAAAAAGTAAATTAGCTGGACGTACGTCCCTAGCCAGACGAAGATCTCTCCCATGGGTAACTAAACGCACAATAACAAATAATGACTAGATCCATTGCATATCCGTTTGTCGTTGAGAGTTGCCCTAAAGGAGTCCATGGAGGACAGTATGCTTTGCCTCATTTCGGCTCTAAGGCGTTTGTCTCGTACCGTGCCTTCATTCATGACTTTGAATGGGAGACCTTGCCTTGGGAGGAGCGATGGCGCCGTTCCGCATGGTGACACCGACGGCTGACGGCTGCTTGATGTTGTTGGCCACACCAGTGCTGTAGCCAGCACAATTCCATTCGTATGTATTTACACATATATAGTATATATAATATGTTGCTCAAGCACTGAGTATTTTGCTTACACATCCTTGACAGGCGCATGAAATACAAGAGCGTTCGCTGAATAGGCACATAACAATTCACAATATTACATAAGACCCAACTCTCCGGCACCTGCAACAGCAGGTAATGATGCCCGATCCTCAACGCTTTCCCACTAGATGCAGACGCTGTGAATTCCTATGTAGATGTTTGGGGAGCAAGAATCATTTGCCACCTGCAGGGCATAAATCAAGTCTCTAATTTCTTGCTCGCATTTGTGACCACACCTAGCCGGGCTCCAGGAGATTGCACAGAATCAGGAGGGAAAGGACTTTCAGCCTGAGGATTCAGGCGCGCGCAAGAGTTGTGATTCATGATTCATATAACAATGCTCCGGATAATTACGGTAACCAACATGATCAGCACGAAATCAAGGACCGAATTGCTCAGAGGCTCAGAGGGACTCCATGTCCATAGCCCTCCAAAAGTCTACAACATGCACAACGAGCTGATGTGTCCTCTTGGAAACTAGGGCTATTTGGTGCAGAAATCAATTGAGGCGTCATCTTGAATGATCAAAGGTAGTAGTTCTTCCCGCGACTTTCAGTACAGCTCACTTCTGCTCGCTATATCGCTACCTTTGGTCGATGTCAGCATGGCTTCACTGGGTAGATTGTTCGCTGATGGGGTCCGTGCTGGGAGGTGAGACCTATATCCAAGCAGAGCTGTTGGAAGAGCTTCCTACTACGAAGCTTTCCTAGGACGACCAAAGAGCCTTCCTCATCGAGAGTCGTCGTTTGATCTTCCAACCAACTCGTTATGAAACCATACTTGGCCTTAGACATGCTGAAAACCTTGCTCGTAGCGGCGAGGGGAGATAAAAAGATGCTTCTGAGGGACCCGGACCATGACCGACAATGTGGTTTCGGCTGCCCGGTTTACTGTTGACATTTGTTCAATTGGTTTCCTGCCTGAATCACTTTCAGGGCTCGCTCCAACTTCTCTTTAATTTGCATCATGTAAAGGGCACTCGTATTTGTCCAGGGTCCAGACCAACCGATGAGGACCATCAGGCTGTTCTACCCTACCTTTGTCGTCTTTTGGGCCAGAAACCATGGCCAGAGGCAGATCGCCAAACACATTCTTTTGGAAGTTGTCGTTTACTCTAGCACTTCCCCCTCCCCTCACTGCCTCACAGCAAGAAATGCTCTACATCGACGCAGACCGCGCGGCCGAGGCCGCTGTGTGGCCGCAGATCTGGCGGCCAGCGGTGCGCACCGCGCCGGGCGGGCCGGAAGGCTTAGTGGGTTCATCCAGATTTGAAAAAGCGCCTAGTAGCGTCTTTGTTCCTAGTAGCGATGCCAGGAGCCCCTAGTAGCGTCACTACCATTCATTCTTCAAAAATCCTCACTGTCATTCACTGGTACTACGGCAAAAGCAGTACATATTTGGGGTCCACCTATGTGGGCAGGTCATGTGACAGACTTATGACTTATACAGACTTCACAGATAGATGAATCTCGAGGATTGCAGTTGAAGGATTCAGCAGGCAGTGTTTTCAGGGTTTGGGCTCCAGTGCTGAATGAATCTGAATGAAACCACTCCTGCAAAATAGAATTGGCGACAAAATCTGGCACAGTGAGTTTGTTCCTTCAAGATTGGATGCTGTTTCATGATGTTTCTTGATACATTCGCCAGCATTCGCCCCTTGAAGTCTCCGAGCTACAAGGCATTTGTATGTTCTTTCGGGAATCCTCACCATGAGTGCCCCACTCTATTTGAGAAGGGCATCGCTACTAATAGCTAGAAGCTACTAGGTGGAGGCCATCGCTATTAGGTTGGAGGCCATCGCTACCAGTAGCAAGAAGCTACTAGTAACAAAGGGCATCGCTACTAGGAGCAAGGACGCTACTAGGTGCGCTCCTGGCCTTACTACTAGTAGCAAGAGGCTACTAGTAACACGTGGCCGCACCAACTGTGCGGGCCCACTCCGGTGCGCATCCAACGATGACGGAGACTCGTGGCCCTTGGGGGGCTGCGACGATGGGAGATGAGACGAGCATCTCGGCTTCGCTGTTTTCCACGAGCCGAAGGATTGGAGCTTTGGGACGCAGAGGTCGTTGGGCACAGGCACTGGAAAAGTATCGGCAGTTTGAACGGAGAGGATTGAAAGGAGATTTGACCATGTTGAACATCTTGCTGAAGGCAGTTTGCTCTCGTGGACATTGGACAAAGGCAATGCTTTGGCTAAAAAGTGGCGTCTCATCCGACTGCTTCACTTGGAACACCTTGCTCCAAGGGAGCTCTCAAAAACAGAGTTGGTCATCTACCCTTGGAATTCTGGGACATGTGCAATCTCAAAGCTTGGTGGACGAAATGAGCTTCAACACCGCAATTGCATCTCAGCTCGTATCAACTTGGAAGTATACATCCTCTTTGTTGACACGGATGTTCTGCCACCAGTTGCGTCGGGATGTGGTGGGCTACTCGGCCCTGGCCTCCTGTGCAAGTGGAGATCCGGTGCTTTGGGGCCAGGCAGTCGTGCAACTGCAAGCTGCCATTTGCTGAGCTCATCGGTTTGTATACCTGTAGTTATAGGATGTTATAGGTAAGCCCGGTAGACACGGTCATCATATGATTTCATGAGAGATCATGAGAGGGATATATCGATATTGCTTAGCTTGGACTTTTTTTGGTGAAGCTTAGGCAGGTCATGGACAACATCAATCTCTCACCCAATTCGGTCAGCATTGGTGCTTGCATTTCTGCTTGTGCTAATGCAGCTTCTTGGTGTGGAGCCAGCGCATTGCTCCAAGACCACTTCGAACGAAAACTGGAACTCAACGTCTCTTGCCATGAGCGAAAGAATCAATCGCAATTGCTAAGACCCAAAGGGCTGGTTTTGGTATGTTTTGGTTGATGTTTTTCTGGTTTCTGTTTGCTGTGTATGGTTGCGTATGTGCATGTAATGTATATGGTGAACAACACCCCGTTGAGGTCATTCTGCTTGCCTCCACGGCGTCTGCACACCAGCGAGATCTTTCGAGTCAGTGGAGAAAAGCACTGATGATTCTGGAGATGGGAGAGGACAGAAGCATCCAGCTAAACACCTTTTTGCTACTTGCTGCGAAGACTTCGCCAGCACAAAGACCTCACCAGCAATACTAAATGGCATTTCAAGTGGTTTGTTAGAGGTTCAAAGAGTTCCCAAGAATTCAGCCCATGTTGCTGCCCATTTCGTTTTGAACAACCTTGTGCTAGGCAAGTCTGCGTACAACATGAACTGAGCAGTCATTGTCATTGTCATCAGTGA